CATAGTGAGAAACAAGGCCTAGGGAAAGGAAAGGGCTGGGAACTCAACAGACACTTGGGTTTAATTCTACTCCGTCCCCTTTCTAATGCCTTTCTTGCAGGAATCCCTCTCAGCTGTCTGTCAGTGACTCTCCTCCATCATTTTTGTGCATTGACTGATGCCCTATCTTCAGCTCTGGTCCATCAGAATGGCTTGGGCTGCTCTCTCACCAGTCAATGGCATTACAAGGAAAGGACTGTGATTGCTTTATACTACCTCCTCCTCTTCTGCCAAATAATTCCCATGCTCTGTAGCGTCCTGTATTACCCTGCCAATGACCTTTTGTTCTTCCATACACTTTGGTGCCATTCTCTTGATTACTGTGCCTGTTTTTTCATTAATTACTTCAGACTGACACGATTGAAGCAATGTAAAGCAAACTATTCCCTCAGCAAACACGTGCTTAATTTGGTCTAAAAATCATGAGGTGGGTTATCAGCTGTCACCTATCCCCAGTGAAGTGGGTGGAGTCATGTTGTGTTATCTTAAGCAGAAGACTTGACCAGGAGTTCTCCTAGTTAGCGCTCTAAAGGAGTATCTTTGCTTGTGGTTCTGTCAGCATGACTCTGCCTTAGTATCACTGGCAAACCCCATCGATTTGCTCTGGAAAATGCAGCTGGACAGGATGGAAACAATAGCATGTCCAGTTCCTGCTATGCATCTCCTGGGAAGCTTTCGTGGAAGTGTTTTTGTAAGTTTAACATTACTACATCGATATAATACTGTGATGCATCAAAGGTTTCCTCTGGACATCTCTAACAACTAAGACCTTCATCAGAAAATGAAAATATCTAGAAGTTAATGAGATAAGTAGGGGAGGAAGAGTGCTGTAGATAAAATACTTTCTTACCAGTCATATAGCTGGAATTACTTTCTCAAGGAAAGACTATGTCTCTTGAGCCATGAAATAAGTATGTAGACATTTATTTTTTTCACTGATATTGCATCTTTATAAAGTTCTTTCTATCCAAAACCACTGAGGACTCCATGGAGTAAGAAACCTTTAAGACTTAGATATATATTTGTGTAGTCAAAATATGAATCATGTGACTTACTACCCAAAGTAGATATTACCATAGTTATTTTACTCCCCTGAGGGAGGGGCAGGAGCCATTTGCTTATAGGACAGGGAGAAAGCAGAACTCACTGCAAGCCCACTTGTTGAAACATTTGGGCTTTTTTTTTTTTCTTTAATGCAATTTAAAAAGTGGTATTCCTGACTAGTATTAACGAGTACTTCCAACTGTTGGAAGAAAACTTCAGCTTCCTGATGGAGGAGCAATACTTAAGGATGGGGCTCGGGTGACAACTGATAGGGTGAGCTATTGGGTGCAGCCTTACATCAGCAACAGCCTTTCTGAACGGCTCTGCCTCTTACATGTCATACAGCAAGTATGTAATGCTGGTGAAGGGATTCAGCAGTCCTCTTCGGGGCAGCTTTGCTGGAGACCACTTGACTTTTCTTCTAACACCTTGCCCCCAGGACAGCCGAGGCAGGAAAGTACCAGCTGTACCAGTCTTAGGGCAGCATCTGCTGGTTATTGCACGGATCAACATAAATGGTTGTCATGGAAGAGGCTGCTTGCTTTGGCTCCCAGGCAGAGGTACCTGGGACTCGGGGGAGCGGGGGAAACAGGGGCGCTCTGGAGAGAAACGACCCGTAAATGCAATTGTAAGAGTCAATCGGGAGAGAAGGGGAGCGGGCAAGGAGCTTCTGGGTCTTGGTCTTGCTTTTTCCTGTTGTCAGAGGCAGCACCCGCAAACTTTGGAGAGTCCAGGTTCAGTTGGCTGCAGTTCGCCTCCAAAGGCAAAGAAACCCGCACAGCCATCACCCCCCTCCCCGCCCCACACACACTCCGCGCTGGTGACAAATAAAGTCGAGATAGGGCGGCAAAATGGGGGGACGAGGACTTCGGGAGACTTGGCAGGAATAATACCGGGGCTCGACCACCTCTCCCGGGGAAAGAGACCGCAGTGGTGCCCAGGCGGGTGTTTTTACACCGCAAGCGGGGCGAAACAGATCAAGGGATACAAATAACGCCCGGGAGGCAGGCGGCCGGAGCCCCGGGGGGCCGCCTCGGGGGAGGCGGCGGGCGGGCAGGG